ATAGGAGACCCAATTATAATATAGCTGTCAAAGGTAAGAGGGAAATTGTGAGTCCAATATAGAATGTTTGTTGGCTATTTGAAAGGATGAGGTAGAATGTCAGACAGGAAGCCTGATTGATCTTTCTAATGGCCTACTGATGGACAGCTCTGTCTGGTAGCATTTAAGCATGTTTAAGTCCATCTAATGTAAAAAAAAAAATCATTCCTCAACTCCAAGCTCTCCTCTAGCTATTGCTCAATGTGTCTCTTTCCCTTTACAACTAAACTTCTTGAAAGAGTCAGTGTCTCCACTTCCGCTCCTCTCACTTGTCAACCCCCTGCAATCTGGCTTCCAACCCCACTACTTTATTTGTAATGGGAGTCAGGGGGTGGGAGCAATTTCCGCAATATTTTTGCTGATGACTCGCAAATCTTTGCCTCTAGCCAAGTGATCTCTGTACATCAGTTTCATGTATCTAACTGTCTACAGGGTATCTCCACTTAGATTTACCATATGGGTTTTAATATATCACATCTGAATTTATCCTTTTTTTTTCTTTCAGTGCTCTTCCTCCTCTTATGTTCTCTAGCTCCTTGCAGCTCAAACTGTGGTGCAGACACTGGCAGCATCAGCATCACGTTGGCATTTGTTAGAAATGTGGAGCTCCTGGTCCCATCCCAGACCTTGAGTCAGAATCTGCATCTTCAGGTGATTCACATTCACAGTCAGGTTTGAACAGCACTGCAGTTCATTGAATGGTCCCCACATCAGCTCGTTCTCTGTATCCTAAATATCTCACATTTTCCCATTTTTTCCCACTGCCCCTTCCCTGGTTCAGGCTACCGTCCTGCTTTACCTGAATATTTTAACAGCTGCCTCACATCCTCTCTCCCTTCCAGTCCATTTCCCCAGCTCAGCTGGAGCAGTATTTCTAAAGCAAAATCTGATAGGGCCATCCCTTGCTTAATTTTCTTCAATACTTTCTGATTACTCTCAAGATAAAGTCCAAATGCCTTTACTTGCTTAAAAATACCATGTGTGATCTTGCCCCTGATGACCTTTCTGGCCTCACTTCTTATCACCTTCACTTGCACACATCAATTTTTAGGCCTTTGCCACATTATATTTTCCTCTGCCTAGAAATGTAGCCTCTCCCTCTGCCAAAGGTTACTTATATGTCAAGTCTTAACTTAGATGTCACTTTTATTTGGAAGCTTTCTCTAAGTTAGTAGTCGCTCTTACGTATGTTATGGTCTTCACCACCTTGTATTATAAATGCCTAATTGTCTTCATTCCCTGCTAGACTATAAGCTCTTTGAGGCAGGGACTGTGTGTCCTAGTTAACTATTTTATCCTTATTGCCTGGTATAATCCCCGATAAATATTTATGAAATAGATGAATGAATTCCTTTAAAAATTCTTCAAACGTATATTCTAAGCAATTCCATGTTCCAGTTATAATTATGTACCAATAAACGGTGTCTATAAATTCAGATTTAACTAAGAGTTTTCTAACATTCATATGTTACAGGGGAAGGTAAGATACAGAAAGATACAGAAAGTTATAGTAAAAAATTGTATTTCATGAATTTAGAAAAACTTTTCCTTTCGATTTAGTAACCATGGTTTACATAGTTATTGATTTTAAGGTATAAATAGTTAATTGACTTTAGCATGCACAGTGAATCTTAGGCTTCCTGGTCTTTCCCATACTTGTGTTTCTGGTTTATATTTACCTCTTAGCTTTGAGGCCTTCAGGTTTTCCCAGTGATGATTTTTGAAGGATATGTTTCCTGAAACCATGTATATCTGGTGTCAGTATTATCCCTGTTTCTTTTTCAGTTGTATTTGTCTGATATTTCATTATCTCTCCTGTTACTTTTAATTTTTGGATCACTTTATTGCATGCTTAACCCCTTGAACAAATAGGTATCATATATGTAATATATGTATATATGCACACACTCTCACACATATCCTTTATAGGAATGTGTCAATGTTTTGGTATGATCTCAGAGTCTTTCAGTGGTGACATTTAACACATAAGTGTTAGTTACACTTTGACCATATATTAGAAGGATGAAGCTGTGTGGAGGAGAGCTTTGTTTCCTCCTTTCATGAGGAAAAGAGTTACTCTCGCAACATCAGATAGTCGCATGACTGTGCCCTCCGTGTTTTGACAGGCAATATAGCAGAGATGTTGATTGACTACAGGCAATGAATAGATAAAGAAAATAGATTGTATTCATCTCCACAATGGAATATCATTCAGCCACAGAGAGAATGGAGTACCGATACATGATATACCATGAGTGAACATGGGAAACATTAT